CGGTGAAGACTCCTCTCCCCCCAACACTTACACTTAATCAATGATAGTTTTTTGCTCGAAAATAGTTCTCAAAATATGTAAAAATATTCCCTAACTTTTCTCACAAAGGTACATAAATATTAAAATGAATTAGAATTTCGGTTGCATATTCATTTTAATTAATTAAAATTTGACATCAAAGCTCTCTTCAAAGCTCTACTTCTACCTTATCTCCCACTCCACTTTGAAGACCCACATCACATGAATCATTCGCTTCAAGATCTAAGATTCCTTCCAAAGTCCACTCACAGGCAGTTATCACTGTGGTGGGGGCGATATGCGATATGCGGGTCCAGTGTGACCAGAGATAGGAGATGGGCATTGAAAAGACTTTCTAGCAAGGGGGGGGGGGGGTGGGTGGTAGTGAGAATAATGATGTGTGTGGAGCAGGGCAAAGCAGAGGAATCATAGCAGTAGAGGGGGGCAGAGATAAAAGCAAAGAAGGAGAAGGGCAGTCAACAGTCGACCGGCCATTAGCTGCTTATCGCGCGCTTCGCTCGTCTTTAGCTCTGCTCCCCGCTCACCCCGCACTCAGTCTCTTCAGCACTCTCTCCATCACTCTCCCATTGAGTAGAGGAGCTCTGGGAAAAAAAAGAACAGGGCACAGCGTAAATAGCAAATAGCAAGAGAGGCGGAGACATATTGAAAAGGCTGTTGCTTGGCAGAAGTACATAGGTGGGGCAGGGAGAGAGGGGCAGTAGGAGGAGTCTGTATCTCAAGTGTAAAGTTATCAAGTGGCTGCTGCCGCTGCAGACAGAGTCCGAGAGATAGACAGGCCGGACAGGACGGGACAGGAACAGGAACAGGCAGTCTAGGGTTAAAGCCATAGACAACGTCGAGTGTTGTGGCGAGTGTCGTTTGTGGCCATGGCGGCTCTGCTCTGCCCGACATAAAATGTTATCAGAAAGGATTATGACAACCCTGGAGAAAGAAAGAAAGAAAGAAGAGAGAGAGAAAGAAAGAACTAGAGATAGAGCTGGCAAGAGAAAATCAAGAGTAGAACTGTATCAGTGGCACAAAGAGCATCAAGATGATGATGATGAGGCGGCCACAAGGCGGCAGCAGGATGCAGACAGGATGGCACACAGGATGTGGCAGTATAAAGAGTAGCCTGTGCAAGTGTCAAAGTCGGACATTGGACTCCATAAAATATTTACACGAAAGGAGCAAGGCAGCCACCAAGGAAAACATCTCAAGATATCTCCTCGCTGGAATCTCTCACTTCAACTGCAGCCAGCAGGACTCGGAGTGTCACAATTGTTGGGCTACTCGCAAATAAATACAAGATTTGCCACTTGAACTAAAGGATTTTGTAGTTTTTATTAGAGCGTAATGTAATGCAAGAGGTTCCAAGTGGTGGGCTCAAGCCAAGGATTTGAGCTTAAAATTAGGTTTATCTAGAAGTTAAGAATGCATATTCGAGTTTCAACTGAGAGAAGAAAAAAGGGAAAATAAGGTCTGAAACTAAAGTAGATTGGGCTTAAAGTTGGGATTTGCCTCCAAGATTTGATTACTGCTCCACGATGATGGATACAAATAAGTAGCTATAGTTTCTACCCAAGATCTACATCATCTACTTGGGCACTTTTTCCTTAGCAAAATAAAGCAAAGCAAACAGCATTAAAACGGAAGCAATAATAGTCACAAAAGAGAGACGGAAACAGTGAGAGGGAGAGAGGGGTAAGAACCTGTCTCAAGAACATATAAATATCATCCAAGTGAAAGAACTCAAAAGCACTGCAGACTGGGTTGCACAGCCAGATGAATCATATGGAGCAATTTATACGAATAGTTATCTACAATTGAATGTCACAAAAGAATGAAAGAATGAAAGAAAGAATAAAGGGAAAGGCAAAAAGAAGAGCAGAGCAGAGCAAACAGAGAGAGAGAGAGATAGCGAGAACAAAGAAATCACGATCTGTGGATGAATATTTGTATATATTTCTGGTTTCTTACTACTGGTCTTTGGAATGCTGCACTCATCAGCAGTCAATGCAGCGGAAAGTGGAAGCGGGGAAATTCTCTAGCTCTAAGTGATATCTACTTAGCGTTTCATAAGCCAAGCAAATGAAGTAGTTGGAAGCGACAGAGCAATAGATGGAGAGGCAGAGCAAAAGCTGGAGATACCCAGAGCAACATAATTAAAATATTAAAAAAAAACAAAAAAAAAACAGAGAAGAGAAAAGAAGCAAAGAAACAGCAAAGTCTGCAATTAACGATGGCTTAAGCAGTGCAAAATATCCACCCAGTGAGGCGACTCCGATTACAAATCCCCCGACGACAAACAAGTCTCTCAATCTCCCTCCCATGCCACTCCCGGTGTGGCAGCAACAAGCAAATAGTTAATAGCCTTGACAGCAAACTTGGCCAGCACTTGCTGCTGCTGCCACTGCCACTTGAGTGACATTCTTTCCGACGACAGATGTTGATGCTGCCTGCAGAAAAACTCTTCAATAATGCAATGAAAACATTTAAACTTGCAGCCAGCCAGCCAGCCAGCCAGCCAGCATAAAAGGCAGCCAGCAAAAAGAGTTTTCGTTGCTCCAACTGCAACTGCAACTGCAACATTTATGAGCTGTGCAACTGTAGAGCTGCTGCTGCTGCTGCCCCAAAATGGCTGCAGCATTGTGAGATATTTCTTAAGGGGAGTTGGGGGCTGGGCTGCAAGAAACATCAAAGTTGCAATTGAAATTGTTTCTTCCACTTGAAGGATTGCTCAATTGTCAGATGAGGGAAATACTAATACCACTGCACAAACACACACACACACACACACACATAAATACTCCTGCTCGCGTACAAGATGCTGACAAATTGTCTGTTTGCCGGAATGGTGGAAAATTGTGAAGAAAACTTATACTTTTTGTTTATTCTTCTTCTTTTTTGTTGGTTTCTTTTCAATGGAAAATTGATCAATGAACAGTTGATGAAACGCCGAATGAATGATGGGGAACTGGGAATAGGAATAGGGATTGATTTTGCTGGGGAATTGTAGCTGAAATGTATGGAAAATGTATTTTCTTTTTGAAGGAATGTAGTTCTGGAAAGGAAACCCATGTCTCTCCCTAAAAGAGTGATGACCACTCAAGGAATATTCGGAAGCCAACTATGATAAAATATTACAGCTATAGGTAAATTTCCCCCGCCCCTAAAAAAGGTTTCATTAAGCAACTTAAACTCCCTTTAAAACTCCATTAAATATTCCATGTAGTTGTCCGAAACTCCACTTCTTTTTTTGTTTTTTTTTTTGTGTAGCTTTCAAATGCCAGCAGTTATGAATTGAAAACAATTTCAAGAGGGGAACGGGAGGGACCCTTCATTCCGCACTGCCCCCTGCTGCCATGCAGCTGTCCGACAGCTCGAAATTTGCAGAGCACCTCCTGCATCCAATCATCCCTCAATTCTCCAGAGAGAGAGAGAGAGCGAGGGAGCTCTTCTGGCGTCAAGAACACAATGCCAAAAAACAGCAGAGTTTTTTTTGGCCCCCCTCTGTTCAACCACAAAAGATACAAAAATTGCAATGCAAAACAAATTTCACAGTTCGATATTTTTTTCCCCCCAGTTGTGGTGTTTTTATGTTGGCCAAAAGTCTTTTAATGGCCTAAAATGGTCCAGTCCAGCATTTTGATGGCTGTGTCGTTCGTGCGGTAATTGAATGCACTCCTCCGCTTTCGTGGCTCTCGTGGGTAAATGTGAATGGCATGGCATGTGAATGTGAATGCGATTGACAGACCAGAGAATGTGCCAGAGAATTCGGGAAAATTGTAAATTGAAATTTGGAAATGTTGTGGCATCGCATCCAATCGTAAAGCTCCTTAATTACAGATATTCCATGCAGTTTATGTGTGTGGAATTTATTTATGATATTTGCCGTTGCCGTTGGTGTTATTGTTGCTGCAACCCCCGCATTGCAGCACACCAATGGATATGGATATGGTTATGGTCTGGTGGTCTGATGTTTCTGTTGTTTCTGTTGCTGTTGTCTCTGTGACTCACATTCGATCGAAACCCGTTTCGGACGCTTGATTTTGCGGCATGCGCCTAATTGTCTTTCAACGCCCACACACACACATACACATACACAAACGGTTTACTGTCATTGTCTGTTTTTTTTTTTGTTTCTCTTCGCTTTTCTTTTGGTTGCAGAAACTAGTTCCCTGAACGAACAGCTGTTTCATTTTCCCATATGACGGGGGTGTGCTCCCCCGCACCACCCCGTCAGGGCTGCTATAGAAGGGGGTTCAATAAAGCTAAAAGTGCGACCATATTTGGTTGACAGTTTGCATATTTGATATATTTTTATTTTCATATCTGAATTGTCTTTAAAGGTAGTCCAAAGTTTTGGGGCCTTAAATGGCATGCGATATCTGTATGTGCTGGTGGCAAGAGGCGTTTGGGCGTGGCTTAAATTTCGTTTTGCATTTGGCTAAAGTTAAGCTAAATAGTAAAGTTAAAAGCTTTTGATTATTTACGTTTTTTTTTGTCTAATTATTATTTATTTAATTAAAATACATTTCTTTAGTGTTTAGCTTTTGTTGAGGTTTTATGGCTTTTGACGTTTCTTTCTATTTCTATTTCTATTGCTTTTTCTTCAGCATTCACATTAGAATGAATGATTCATTCAACATTTGACATTTTCCGATTTAATGCGAGGGGCAACGCCTGCCTTCAAAGACACAAACAAGTTTTGCTGAAGCTTTGTATGGACAATCTATCCATCGATTACACATATATGTATATCCATCAGATACATTACATATGTATTATATCCATAGGATAAACCATAAACCAAAGAAAAAACTGCACCCACATCGCAACTATAAAGCAAATCTGTCCATTGAGAGACTCTCAAACCTTTGAAAGTATTTTTTCCTGGCGAAAACGAGCACCCACTATAATAAGTACTTAGGGATAAATACTATGTTAATATAATATACTATTTATATATTTTGTCTACTCACTTAATCGGCCAAAGCTATGGGATAGCCTCTTCTTGAGCTTTTGCAGGGCTCCTCCTTTCTTCTCCCGCATTGTGACGCCTGCAAAGTGGAAAGATATAAATGAAAACGTCAGTAAATCACTCAATTTGTTGGAGGGGACACACTCAAGTGCCACTTCGTTGATTGCATAATTATTGCCTCTCTTGCCACACAAAAATATATACACTTTAAATCCAAATCAAAAGTTGGTTAAAACTTTGAAAAACAAACAAAGCGAAAGACAAAAGAAAACATACACACACACACACACACACACAAGGAAATTTCCATGTTTTCGTAAATGAAACATAAATCAGTGGAGCGTGGAGCATGGAGCATGGAGCACGGTCTTCCATAATAAACAGGGGCGTGACCCCTAGAGACACAAGGAGGCTACAGTAGAGGGTAGGGTAGGGTAGGGGCACCCTAAATGCACTTCCCCCCACGAAATGAATAATAAACCAACAGAATATTTACAATAGAAACCTAAAAATATTCCACACTTGAAATAGAATTCACTGCATTTTTGAGGTTTATTTTTGGTGGGAGAATCCGCTTCCCCTTCCCCCTCCCACTCTCCAGAGAGTCCGCCACTCCCTCTATAATTAAGTTTTCTTTCGATCATATAATAATATCCATTTAGCTGAAAGCAGGGAAAATGCCGCTTTATTTGCAGGGTTCAGTGAGGCATGAAAATAATTTTCTGTTTTTACATTATCCACTGAGGGGGGTAAGGGCAGCCATTAGAGGGGGTTTTGTGGAGTGTATGTTTTTCCTGCTTTTGTTGATTGTCCATAATGATTGAAGTTTTTTTCTACATTTTTGTTTGAAAAAAAAAGGAGTAATTTATGGAGTTTTATAAAACAAAGGCATGGAAAAAAGTTTTTGATGCAAACTGCTGGGAAAAGCGATTTAAAAGATTCTAAAGATTATAGGAAAATAAATTAGAGATAACCGATTTTGGACTTTTCCATTGGGAAAAACTTTGATTCTTTTACTTTCCCTTCAATATCTAAATTCCTTCTTTATTATTCCAAGTCTTTCATTTGTGGACCACCCACGACATTCCACTGAGCTTCTCGCTGACTTCTGTTTCTCATTATCCATTCACACTTCCTGAAACACAGAGACACATATTCCCTCCCACGTATTCCCCTCCAGTCATCCATTGCTTGGCCGCCTGCCTCTCCGTTTAAGGCAATTGGCACTTGATTCAATCATTTGTCTTCGTACGCTTCGTTCGCGTATGAGTCAAGAACACTTGAAAGTAAATCCCTCAGACACTTTGATGGAGATGATCCACTCGAATGCCGCCAACGAAACGACCTCCCCAGCAGAGCAGATAATCCATTGAACAAATCAACAACAAATATCAGCAGCAAAAAAAACTATGAAGATAGAAATAAAAACTAAATAAAAAAACCATGAAAACTTCTATCTTAAAACTTGTCTGTGCCACAGAATGCATTTGATTTTAAATATGGAAAATAGCTCAAGCAAACGAAGACAACAAAAACACTCTTTTGCTCTATGAATAAATCTCTTTTTAAGTTTTGTCTCTGAAATCAAGTGATAAAGTGTGTGTCGTGTCCCTCTGGAGTGTCAAGAGATGGCTTCTTGTTACCCCAATAGGGCGGGGGCTATTTTCCAAAAGCAATTTGGCTTAAACAATGCATAAAAGCCAAGTCAAGTCTCGAAGCCAAGAGCAATTTATGGGATACTTTGCATAGAAATATATATACAAAATTCTGTTCTCTGTCTCGCTGTGCCACACTCCACACACTCCTCTACATTCCTCCACACTCTGCCCCTTCTATCCATAAATGCAACTCAATTACAGGGGAGCCATCATTCGAGAGAGCCTTAACTACATATATATGCGTCGTAAGCTGTTGTTGACTTCTAAAACGAGGCTGTAACGATCGAAGAAGGGGTGGGCAATATAGCAGAAGGGAGGAGCAATAGGAAGGGGGTGAGACACTGTACACTGAACAACAAAGAACAACAACCAATCACTGTGTTCAACTGGAAATATGATTATGATGCTGTTGCTGTTCCTGCTGTCGCTGCCTGCCTGCCTCCCTGGATGCCTCCCTGTATGCTAATGCCCCTTGACAGACCCACACAGACTGACTGACTGCATACAAATTGCACTCACTGTATACAGCAATGTGATTTGCATAGAATGACGGCGCCAACGTTAATAGTTTTTTGATAAATTTGTTGTCAATGCCCCTTCAATGGATGGATGCCACCATGCCCCTCTACAGTACGGCTTTTTCTGAAGGAAAACGAGTCTGAGTCTGGCTTTTAGGAGTAGTTTTGGATACCCTTCTTTTGGAGGATTGCTCGATGGTAGTGCCAGAAGATAGAAGCCAACATTTTCCTCTCAAGTACAAGTGGGAAAATCCCTAGTAAAAATAAGCTACAGAAAATTGCAAAAAGACAGCTTGAAAGCAGCGCCAAAAAAGTAAAAACTTATTTAATTAAATGTAGTAAAAGTTTGTTCGCCTCGCCACGAGTTGCAAGTGCAGCATGGTGGTTGTGGCACTGCATTAATGAGTGGCGTGGCAGATAGAGAGATGCAAACATCAAAGTTCCAGCAGCAGCATCATCGGAATGGATGAGAGGAGGAATCAATGTCACAGCCAGACGACACCCAAAGCCATCTTTCAGAGCAGCGAAAGGTGGGAGGGTGGGTTGATGCAGATACAAGTAGGAGTTAGCGCAGATACAGGTGCATCTATAGGTAGGAAGGTACACGCATATCGGAGGCAGAGGCAGCCACAAAGCTAAAAAGTTGATTGGCATTCGAGTGGAGGGTTCAATAGCCCCTGAAATGTGATTTTGTGTGGGCGTCCAGTGAGGCATGCAACAAGCAAAAATAGCAAAGCAAAACACGCAACAGTGAGTAACAGAGGGCGACAAAGAAAGGCAGAAGAGGCAGAGTACAATGACTGCTAGAAATATTCGTCAACAGCTAACTAGAGAACAAAATAAGCAGCAGCAAAAATGCACGAGAAATTATAATACAATTTAAGTATATCTCCGTTGGAATCGCTGGGGAAATGGGAAAATGATTAAAGATGGATTAGAATTGAAAATTAAAGCTACATTTATGGGACATGTTTTGGGAGCTAAAGGCTTCCAAAGGGAAAGGGACTTCTATTACGAATGAATCTACCCATGGAAAGGCCAAGCATTTATAATCCATCCATGCTATCCATTAATCAGCGCCAAGAATCCTTCTCATTCCCAAAAAGACAACATATTTTCCACCATCCAAAACGTAATCGTTTTTCATGGCAAAACTCCCAAAACAATGCGTCACATTAAGCGCACCGCCTTTCTACTCAAACCATTCCTTCAATGCTGCTCAAACCATTCCCCCCCGAATCTTCCCCAACCAAATCCTCCGATGAGAGGCACTTTCCAAATTTCTTGTTAATGACGTAATTACCTCAAAGAAAAGCCAAACAAAAGGAGCAGCACAAACGAGGAACTAAGAAGCGAGTGACACGAGGCACAAGAAGTGGCAGAAACAAGAGGCAGAGGCAGACGCAGAACCGCAGAAGAGAAGCGGAGGAGCGGAGTAGAAGGCAAGAGGCGACACAGGCCACACGACGTCTACGTGACATTTTGGCCATGCCATGCCACAGCCACACGGCAGGCAGGCAGCACCTCCACACGCCACCCCCCTCACCCCTTCTCTCACTCTCTCTCGCTACTCTTAGCCATGGCTCTTGGCCAAATGTTGAAAACTGATTCTCTGATTCAATCGCAAAGGAAAATAGAATGCTGAGCAAACGCAGCAGCAGCAGGCAGTGGGAAGCGCAGTGGGGGGGAAATGCAGTAGGTGAGTAAAACCAAAATATTTTGACACTTTTCGGGGCGACAAGCAGCTGACTAATTGAGAGAGAGTGGGAAAAGCCATGTCGCTCTCTCGCTCCCTCTCTTTGGAGAATGCCTAAAAATAGAATGAAAGTGCAACAAAAGAGAGAGGGATTGAGAGAGGGGGTGAAAGGGGGAGCAGAAGCGGGTGAAAGGATAGTGTAAAGTGCATATTCGCGACAGCTGACGGAAGAGACTGAGGGTGTCCGCGTATGTTGCATGATTAAATGGCTAACAAATGACGCCACAACGAATGGAATTCTTTGGACCAAAAATAGAGGGAATGCTGGCCAAAAAAAAAAGTTACCCCCACCAAGCACGTGATAGCAGGGGTGGGGCGGGGCACGTGGCAGTTTGGAGGTGCATTGATGGTGAATGAACTCTTTCTATTTCGCTTTTAAATGAAATTCCAAACATTTCAATCAATATTAAATTTATATACAAATTTTATTTAGTTTTTCTGCCTGATCGAATTTTATAGGTATCCAAAAAGGTGAGGGGAGGGCCTGCTAACAGCAGGGCTATGCTATGTCCGGGTGTAGCAGTATTGACTAAAAGTTTTCATTTAATTAAAATGCATTTGTAACTAATTGAATCCGACAACAACAAAAAAACAAACAAAAAGGCACTCGGAAAAGCAGAAAAAGCTTCAAACAAATGGAATAACTTACAGAAAAAAAAACAACACAGCAAAAGCAGAAAATAAATGAAAAATAATATATGGTATTAGAGTAAATATTAAATCAAGTGCAGAGAAAAACTCATATATTTATTAAAAATGAAATATCAAAACAAAAATAGCAAATCGTATGGGAAATTGTTAGAGGATATGGAAATTGGCAAACATAATTGAAAACAGTTTAGGCAGCACAGGAAAAAAAAGAAACATTAATCCATTTATTGAGATTTTATGATGCATTAAGCCTTCAAGCTAGCGGTAAATATCGACTAGGTCTTGGACCACGAACATTACACCCAACTGTATAGAAGGTTTTTCTTTTTTGTGAAATTTCTACAACATTTGTTGATAGTTTTCCGTTGCATTCCCATCTTGTATCAGCCACAAAAACCAAATTTCACAACGATTTGTATAAAAAATGAGAACGAAATATGTAATACAGCTTTTTCGCAGCTGTTTTTTAATATGCTTTCCATGTGTTTTGCTTGTA